ATAACTCTACCTAAAACAACATTTAAAAAAATACATCCCTGAGGCATCATCTTTGTTTATCAGTTGTTACCAGCTCTTTCTTGGATTGCTGGTTTATTCCGAGTGCTTCCAGAGGTGGTAAATCTTCCCAGGTCACGTCTGTGATAGCAGCTTATGTGATAAACACACCCATCCACACAGGACACACACGCTTTTTGTTATTTTGTTTTATACCTCTCATGATAATGAAGTATCATGAACTATTTTAATTTTAATAATGAGACTTCTCAGCCATGATAAGACCTTAAATGTATTTCAGGGTCCCGGACTGTCTTTTCTCTATTTTTCTTTTCTTTTCTTTTTTTTTTTTTTGTGTGTGTGTTTCTATATTACTTTGTTTTCTCATTAGCTGTGAGAAAGCCACCAAAGAGCTAGGACACCGGGTCTGTGTGTGGCATTGCGGGTGGTGTGCTGTTCTAGTGCTCTACCGGTCAAGTTGAAGTTCCCCTTAGTGGTAGAGTTACCTCTGTGGTTACTCTGCCAGCTCTGAGCTCCTTTGGCTTTAGGCTGACAACATGAAAGGCCTCCACTTTAAACATTTTAATTAGTAACTTCTGTTTAGTCATTCATTCCTGAACATGTGGAGTCTCTGTCCTGTGTGGATTCTGGAGCTACACAGTATAAACTCAGCCCCACAGTCCCAGTCTATTGGAAGAGGAAGATGGCACATATTTACCACCCCAGCTGAAATGTTTTATAGTAAAGGCACATTCGAGCACTCTGAGGCTGCACTTTTAACTGTAGACGGAGCATTAATAGTGGAAGCAATAGGAGCTTCTTTGTAAAAAAAAAAAAAAATGAGTATTTAGCAGTCAGGGTTAGGGAGAGAAGGCACCCTTGGCAAAGCAAACAGGATCTGGGGAGGAGCACAGTCATTTTGAAAGATGCTCAGCATGTCAGCTTGATGGAAGGCTTTACAGTGAGGCGTGGGAAGGAATGGTCGAGTCCTCCCTGTGTGGCAGCATGGTGGGGACAGCTCATACACAGCTGGACATTCACTTGGGTAAGGCTCTGTACATTAATGTATGGAAGTAGTTCTAAGCTGGATTGAGCCACTGATCTGGAGCCTCTCTCCTGTCCTGCCGCTCTCCCCCAGACCTCCTTACACCCAAGGACTCAGCAGTTAAAGACTTTATAATTAGGGTCCCCTCTAGCAAGAAGCCCAGTTGGGTTAATTTTTTTGAGCATCTTTCTTTTTGTATGCCATAGTGAAAAATTTAAACTTTATCCTATAGGGTAGGGCTTAGAAATTCAGACGCTTCCATGGGATAGGCAGTCCACATAGAAATGAGTGAAGGAAGTGGTTATAAAAAACAGAGGTGAAGATTCTCATAAATTGGAAGAATTCAACTTAATTTTTAAAACACACTGCATTAACAAATACGATCGAGTGGTGACGTTGACTAATGGGACAAGTGAGCTGCCGGTACTCAGACGTTGCAGTGTCAGTAACCGGGAGCCACCGTGGATTTTTGGGGAAATAAGAGAGTTGTGGAGAACTCAATTTTTAGAGAAATTGCCATGGTGGTTTGATGGACAGAGATTACAGAAAACAAGAGCATATAAGTCCAAAAATATAGGCTCTTCTAATTCAAAGATTGGATGATAAGATGCTGGCTCAAATTTAGAGATTTCAGGTTGTATTTTTAAAAAGTTTTCTATGCATTATAAAACAACAGGATTATTGAGGGAGACATGGTGTTTCTGTCTGAAAAAGTTTCAAGCACCAGGAAGACAGAAGTAGAAGCTAAAGCCGCTGATCTCTCAGGGTGAAGCTTCTAAGTCTTTTGTGTCCTGAAGGAGCACAGTAAGTAACTCATACAGAATAATTGTGGATAAAAGCACAAAAAGCTGGGCGGCGCCTGTGGCTCAGTGAGTAGGGCACCAGCCCCATATACCAGAGGTGGCAGGTTCAAACCCAGCCCCAACCAAACACTACAAACAACAACAAAACCACAAAAAGCTGTGGGTGGTGAAATGGGGTGGAACAAATGTTGAAAGACTGTAATGTTACCAAGCAGGGCATTTTTTGTGATAATATTGTTTAACATCTTTTCAACAGTCCTGAGTAGGGTTTATTCATTAACTTAACAAATTCATTGAGGACCTAATATACTCTAAGTGTTGTTTTAGGCATTATTTTTTATCATGCAGGATTTGTTAATTTATTTATTGAGAATTTACTGTGTGCTGCTATACTTCTAGGCAGTGGGGATAAAACAGAGACCAGAATAGACTCTCCCCGTTCTCCCTGGAGGCTCCATTCTGCGGGAGGAGAATGGTGTGAACCTGGCGAGAGGGGAGGTTAAGGTGAGAGACAGGGAGTGGACTGAGGCTGGAAGGGCTGCAGACGGAGACCAACCAGTGTGCAGTAACCGAGGGGGTGAGAGCGACCACTGCCCAGAACATCACGGAAAAGTCTTTGTGGTCCTCAAAACTGATGGCACTGGGAGTAGAAGGAATGGAATGGAAAGTCACAACCAGTAACATGAAACTGTTATCAGATGAAGAGGATCCAGCTGCCCATCACTCTCAGCCGAAAGCAGAGATGGGATTAGGTCCAAGGAACCTATTATCAGAAGGCCAGAGATTCTGGAGAACAGTGAGAATAACCTCCCAATTCTGTTCTGCCTCAGTTACAATGCTAATCATTTTTATAATAGGACCACAAGGAAATAAACCTAGATTTATTTATTTATTTATTTATTTTTTGCAGTTTTTGGCTGGGGCTGGGTCTGAACCTGCCACCTCTGGTATATGGGGCCAGCACCCTACTCCTTTGAGTCACAGGTGCCACCTCAAACCTAGAAAATTTTTAATTTTATCTGATAGGAAGTAACATCAATGTAGTCTTTTCATTCTAATAATGTAAAATGTTTAAACAACATTTTTGAAGGGTAATTTTCAACTTTAATAAAATATCTAAGAGAATCCTTAAACAAAACATTCTATCATCAAAGTAACCTTTACTCTACAGATATCACAACACCTGTTGTCTGTGTGTGAGTACTTCGTCATGTCTCCCAGATAAATATCCTCACAGTCACAGAGGATCTTTAACTAGACGATCATGGGGAAGGATGTGAACTTGGCAGACGAGGTCAGCTGTGACTGCGTCGGCTTCTCACACTCCAGCTTGTAGGCTGCTCTTCTGGCTTCTAGAGTGTTGAACGCAAAGTAAAGTGATGTGCTAGGTTTGGGTGAGCTGAATGTCAGATTTGGATGAGGCAGCTTAGTGTAGCTATTTTCTTATATCAGTATTTCTCAAGTTTTGGTTAGAGATGGACATACCTGGGGAACTTGAAAAAATGCACAGGTGCAGGCCAAGCTCTGCTCCTTCCACCAGAACACATTTGCTCTGTGTCCTTTATTAGCTCACTTGGTGATTCTGACACACTGAGGTTTGAGAATCACCGACTTGGATGGCCAGAGATACAAGTCTAGAAAGGAGGACTGAGCAAAGGATTGGAGATGTGTATTTTATGGTTTCTAAAACAGTGTTAACTGAGACTTAGGGATGGGCCCCTCTCCCAGCTGGTGAGTAGACAGGAGAGGAGGGGAAGCGGCAGGACGGTGAGTGGCTGTGCACATGGAGCTGGGGCGAAGACCAGGAGAAGCCCAGAAGACGGACACATAAATTGCTTGTCACGAGGGGAAAAGGCACAGAGCTCAGTTTCCCTTAATGTGGGGGGAGACACAGCCCTCGGGGTACCTTAGAGCTCGGCACTTAATAAGTAGGCACTTACTCAATATTTGTTTATTGAATGAAGCATGCTTCTGGGAATGGCTAAGGAGACATTTTTGGAAGAATGTAAGCAATCATATCAAATGCAGAAGCTGAGGTCAAGAGGGCCTGAAACCTGGGGGATTATTAGAAGTTTTAGTCTGAAGACACTATTGCTATGGAAGAGATGGGGCAGTTAAGTTCAAGCAGTGAGTTCAGGCCCTGCAGTTATTTATAACATTTATCCTGAGCTGTCGGTGAGTAGTGAATAGCCATAAAATGTACATGCAGAGTGTTCATGCATATGCATACACACGCACACGCTCGTGTTGGGACGCATGTATGCATGCAGAGGTGTGGCTGTTTGGCGCCAAGGTCGTCATAGTGTCCTGTCCTGACATCAAGTGGCTGCATCCTTCAGGCTGTAGATCTTAAGGGAGGCGGTGTGTGTCAGGAGTCTCAGAGGTGGCAGGGGGCTATCTTTGGGAGGCTGGAACATAGCCCTGCACGGGATGCCAGGGGCACGTCTCCAGTAACCTACATAAACCATTCGCTCCCCTTAGTTTTCAGCGATTGCTCCCTAAGAATAGATACAATTTCTAGAAATTGCATAAAAATATAAAATCCTATTTTAAGATTTGTTGAAAGCTTTTTAGCTCCAGACACACATTTCCTTTGAAAGGATAAACCTTTGTGTCACAAAGTAGAGATGCTTATTAGTCATCTCTCTGGGATCTGCAGATTCGTAGACGAAACATCCAACGTCTCATGTATTTTCAAGTGTCAGGCCTAACTGGGTCCTGATGAAGATTTGTCTATCCTTTCCACACCATTCAGGCTGGTCTGCTGGGGGTAGACTTCTCTTAGTCCACATGAACAGAACCCGTTATTAGTCATGGAAATTCTGTGCACATCTATGAGGATGAATAGGCATTGAAATAATCTACATCCAGACCTTCACAGTCAGGTTTGTTTAGCTGTCTTAAGATTGATCTTTTCATCTCCAGTGCTGTTTGAGATTGATTATAGGTATCTGGTGATGGGTCTGAGGTTGTAACTTTAACAGGTATAAGTATTTCTTTCCTCTGTTTCAGCTGAGAAGTTTTGAATGTGAAATATTCACAGCCATTAAGAGACCTCCAGTTTAATTTCTCATCATGTTTATTCTGTAGTTCACATTGAGTCCAGAGTACAAAGGAACTAGTGAGCGGACTCTGTAGACATCAGATAGCTGGCCATGGTGTTGGCCATGGCATCTCAGGATGCCCAGAACTTCTTCCAGCCTTTCTCTTCCTGGATGTCTCGGGTTTATGGAGCTCTCCAGCAAGCAGGAGATATATTATCTGCCTCACTGGTTACCGTAAGCCAACAAGACTCTAAATTGAGTGACAAGGTAGACCAGGACTTAGATGATACTAAGATTCAGGAAACTTACTTTGGACATGAAGAACAAGACAATGATTGGAGCCAAGAGGATGAAAATTCCTTGTTTCTTGAAGTGGATCATTTCTCATGTTGTAATAGTGATGTGCAGGACTCTGGCCAAAGCCCAAGCTCCAGATTTAGCCAACAGGCAAAGGACTCATGTTCCACAGTGTCCCAGGGGCCCAACAAGACCCTTCATGACCAGAAGCCACCACATGTGCTTTCTTCTGTTGCTGAGGAAGGACATCATCTTGAAAAACAAAGAAGTGGTCTGCAGCGTGGCTCTAACAGCCAGCTCCCTGATACAGTAGAAACTATCAATGGAGAAAAACAAGGTAAGCTAGCCAGTTGTTTTCTCTGGGCTCTTCCAAAGGGCATTTCTATTACTTTATTTTGACTTGTTTTTAGTTATCACATGGATTTTATTTTTCTCTCCCTAGTACCTTCCCATATAGTGGCTTCTGATTGAGATATGTAATCCTTAGGAATATTTCCAATATACAAAACTTTGGAAGATCTACGTTTGGGGGCTCCATATTCCAAAAACAATAGCTCTGAGCAAGTGAAATGGTGAGAATGAGTGTGTGGATTCTGTTTGAGAAGCCCCTTGTGCACATGTCATGCTTTTAAAAATATCTTTAAAAATGTTCTTTTTTTCCCCCTCTAGGTTAGGAATTTCTAGATGTTACTATATTATTCAGTGTGAAAATCCTGTGCAAAAAGCCATACTTATTGCAGAATTCTTAGTTGATAACACTCCAAGAACACTTCTCGCAGCGTTTTACTGAGCTGTGATGTGAGATGACAGTAGATGAGGAAATCTTTGAAATAAGAATAGCTTGATTTTCTTTTCGCCCTGAATGGTAAGGACATATTGATAAAAGCTGCCTGTAAAGCTTATGCTTTTCGAACTCGGCCCACATTGGACCTTCATTATGTGAATAATGAATATGATAAAAATGTAATTAAGTCTGTCAAAGGAGCTATAGGGTGTTGCAGCATGAATCCTCCTGCTTCTAATACTCTAACCCTGAAGTAAGGGCATCCTACCCAGCTGAGGGAGTGGACAGTGGTGGTCAGCAGGGTGTGCCTGGGTGGTGGGGATGCACGCAGAGCTCACTCAGGTTAGTGTATCACTTTCAGCAGCCTCCAATATTTTTGCCACCAGGGAGGACCAGTTTCATGGAAGACAGTTTTCCCACAGATGGAGGATGGTTTTGAGATGACTTTGAGTGCAGTACAGCTCCACCTCAGATCATCACGCATTAGGTTCTCATAGGAGCACACAGCCTAGATCCTCACACGCACAGTTACCCGTCGGTTCACGCTCCTGTGAGAGCCTGATGCTGCCAGCATGGTGGGAGTGCAGCTCCGGCGGGGACGTGAGTGGTCAGAGCAGCTGTACAGAACAAGCTCCACGTGCTTTTCTTCTCCTCACTTTGTCCTGTGCAGCCCCGTTCCTAACATGCCCCAAACCGTGCAGGTCCACAGGCTGATGACTGGAGGCTGCAGACTTAACTGTTATAAAAACAAAGTCATTTATTGCCTTCATGTTGGATACAGAAGAATTTGCTCATAGGTCCAAATGGTGAATATTCGTAGTGGAATAGCTTGTAGGTTCTCCATCCATTTTCAGTGGTCCCTCTTAGTCTTATCTTTTCAGGGAATTTGTTGTGTTGTTGTTGTTGTTGTTTATTTGTTCAGCTGTTTGTTTTGAGACAAGTTCCCACTCTGTGGCCTAGGGTGGAGTGCAGTGACCTCACTGTAGCTCACTGCATTGTCAAACTCCTGGACTCAGGCAACCCTATTGTCTCTGCCTCTCAAGTAGCCAGGTAAGACCACAGGTGTACCTCACCTTCCCTGACTAATTGTCCTGTTTTTTGTAGATATGGGATCTCGGTCTAGTTTCGAATTCCTAGGCTCAAGCAGTCCTCTTGCCTCAGCTTCCCACAGTTTGGGGATTACAAATGTCAGCCGTGGCACCCAGCCAGGGAAGTGTTTTATCCAGACAGGTGAAGTCTTGGAAGGAAACATACTTCCACGTGCTTCTATAATGCTGTCTTGATACTGCTGTTCAAACTAAAGTAACATCGAAATGCTAGAATAAATTGGTGAACAAGGTGGGCTGATATTCTTTCTGAACCTGATAAAACATAAGTAATTGCAATTTTGAGTCTTTAAAGATTATCTGTAGAGATAATTCTAGAAATATGTGGGCCAGCAGTAAAATTTTTGAAATTTTCATTTCTGTCATAGAAAATTCTTGCCAAAGTTGAACTATGCGTGAAATTGACATGAATTTGGCTTAATAAATGCTTAACACTTGTTTTGTTATTTTTTTGTAATTGTAAGTTAGAACAAGACAATTGTGTTAATTTTTCCACTAAGAGATCCTGATTCACTAGATTGTCCCCTCCTGGAAGGCAAGGACCCTGCCATGGGTTTGTGTCTGTATCCTTAACAGTGAGAACAGTGTTCAGTATATATTAGGATGCCAAATAATAATTAATGGTGGAATAGCAACAAGGACTGCTAAGAACTTAAGAGGTGGGTACTGTTACTCTCACTGTATAGTTGAGAAAACGGATGCTTAGAGTTTGAAAACATAGCTAAGACCCACATTTAGAAAGAGGCAGAGCTTAGGCACCCTGATTCTAGAGTTTGTATTTACTCTCTCCCCGGCCTCATTTTGAAGGTATAATTTACATACAGTAAAATTTATCCCTGTTGTACAGTTCTATGATTTTTGAAAAATAGGCACAATCTTATAATCACTGCCACAAAGTATAAACTGTTTTATTTTTTCTTAAAAAACTTTCCACGGGGGTACAAGTGAATCTTTCTAAGAGTAGAATATGAACGTTTTAACACAATAACTAAGAAAATGACGTGAAGGCCATGTTAACCAGTTTGATGGAAGTGTTTCAGATTGTGTGTGAAAACACCACACTGTACCCCAGAATTGCATTAATGTACATAGTTACCATTCAATAAAAAAAAATTAATTAAAAAAAAAACCCCACATCCCATCATAGTCAATCCCTTCTCCTATAGCTTGCTCCTGGCACATGCTGGCACACTTTCTGTCTTGATAGTTTTATTGTTGGCAGAATGTCGTACAGATGGGATTTTGCTGTTTGTAGCTTTGTGAGTCTGGCATCTTCTATCATAATGCAACTGGAATTCATTGTGTTGTGTGTTTTAGTAGTTTGCCCTTTCTAGTTGCTGAACACTATCTACTGCATCATTGAGCCAGTTTGATTGATTGTTGTTGATTTCATCAGTTGAGGGATATCTGGGTTGTCTGTAGTTTTGTGTTTTTCTTTCCAACATCAATGTCTATTTCTTTTTCTTGACTGATCACACCAGATAGGAGCTCCATTACCATGTTAGGAAGAGTGATGAGAGGGGATACCCCTGCCTTGATCCTGAACTTAGGGTAGAAGCTTCCAGCCTCTATCACTTAGTCAGTAGGTCCAGGTCTCCACGGATGCTCTTCATTATGTGGAAGAAGTTCCCTCACCTTCCACTTTACTGAGAGTTTTATCGAAAAAGGATGTTGAATTCTGTTACATGTAAGATGATCACATGATTTTTTCTCGTTTAGTGTGTTGAAATGAATTACACTGATGAATTTTTTTTTTGAACATAAGTTTATTTTACATTACAGAGAGGAGAAAGGGAAGAGCAGAGAGCAGGGAGTGAGAAGGGAAGATGGAGGGGGAGAGAAAAAGAATTATCTGAGTTATTAATTTATTTTCTTCTTAAGTAGTTTTTGGTACTTTTTGTTTTTCAAGAATTTTTTCCATTATATCTGTGGTATTAAATTTATGAATGTAGTAGTTCCTGATGTTGGTAATTTTTGTCTTTTGTTGTTCTTGTTGATATGTCTTGGTGAAGGATTATGTGTTTTTATCCCCAAAGAACTAGCTTTTGGTTTCATTATTTTTCGTCTACTAGTTTCCTATTCTTTATTTCATTGATTTCTGCTATTATCTTATAATTTTCTTATATTTTTTTTGCTTCAGCTAAAATTTGTTCTTTTTCCTTTTGTAAAATGATGCATAAATGTCCCTCTATGCAATGCTTTATCTGCATTCAGTAAATATTAATATGTTTTTATTTTCATTTGATTAAATTTTTTTCTAATTTCCTTTTTTATTTCTTCTTTCACACATTGGTTATTTAAAAGTGTTTTGATTACGTTCTGAGTATTGGAGGTAGTCTAGATATTTTCCTATTGACTTCTAGTTCAATTTTATTCTGACTTGAGTACGTACTTTCTATTATTTTCACTTAAAAATATTAAGATCTGTTTTATTACCTTAAGTATGTTCTGATGTTTTGGATATTTAAATTGTACTTGAAAAGACTGTATTTTGCTATTAGTTGTTTAAGGTGATTTTTCAGATTTTCTAATACTTATTTTGTGTATTGATTTTTTGCCTACTGATTTTGTTCTGTTGATCACTGAGGAAGGAGTGTGGAGTGTGGTAGTCTCCGATTCCATTTGTTTATCTCTTAGAATGGTTAAAATAAGGAAATAATTACATTTACCTCATTTATGCTAGTTGAAACACTATTTTTACTTTACTATGCATATATACAACTAGCGAATTATCTTAATGTTTCCTTGAGAAATATTTGTCACTATTTTTGAAAAATATTTTAATTATTTTTACTTCCCTTCGTTTATTTAATTTGAAGCACTCCTCAGTTTTAAAAATTTCTTATACTGAGTATGTGTTGCTAATGCATTATCTCAGCTTTTGTTTTTCTGAAAAATATTTCTTATTTATTTGAAAAATATATTTTATTTAGGTATAGATTTTGTGCGGATGGTCATTTTCTTTCAGCATTTTAAGGATGTCATCTAACTGCCAACAGATTGCGTAATTTTCACTTGAGAATTATTACTTTTCTTTCTCTGCATATAATATAGTTTTTTTTTCTTTTAAACCACTGGATGCCTTCAAGATTTTGTCTTTATCTTTGATTTTCAGCAGAAAATCATACTTTCAGCGGACTATATCTGGGAGTACGTGTGTGTGTGTGGGTCCATGTGGGTAGGTGTGTGTACATCCATGTGGTAGGTGTGTGTGTGTTCATGTGGTAGGTGTGTGTGTGCACATGTGGTAGCTGTGTGTGTGTCCATGTGGTAGCTGTGTGTGTGTTCATGTGGTAGGTGTGTGTGTCCATGTGGTAGCTGTGTGTGTCCATGTGGGTAAGTGTATGTGTGTCCATGTGGTAGGTGTGTGTGTCCATGTGGTAGGTGTGTGTGTGTGCACATGTGGTAGCTGTGTGTGTATCCATGTGGGAGGTGTGTGTGT